TCAGGATTCTCGGGTGCAAAATGATGCACAATTCCTCATTAGCCAAAACACCCTTATGCAGTCAGGTATTTTTGAAACCACATCTGAGGCATGTAGACCGTGCTTTGAATTTCACAATAGATACATTTACCTTTGCTCTTGTTTTAGAGTCACTTCAGAAACCCTATCACAGAGCTTCTTTGTAAGGCTTATTCAGAGGTATCGTGTGCCTTCCTCTAAGGCTCAGAAAGTGAGACTTACCCAAACTCATGCAATGAGTTTCTATATTTCAGTTGGGATTCAAACATCTGGCTGAAACTCATGTGTCCCACAGGTTACATGAGAGATGGAAGTGATAGTTGGATTAGTTGTGTGGTACAACATGACCAAAGCTGCCGTATCAAAGGTTCTTCGGGAGTTTAAAATCAAATGTTGTTTGTAATTTCTGACTTAGAAGACATTTTGTGCAAAGAAAAAATGGCAAAATAATTGATGGGGAAAAGGGAGGGTTGCAAGTGAAAAATGAGGCCTGTATCAGCCCTCCCACTCATAATATTATGTGAATGACCAGACTGAATGCTTGATAACTGCCTCATCTGGAAGTGAATTTCAGTGTACCAATAGCTGTTAATGTAAGGACCTCATCACATTAAGACCAAGATTCTCCATGCATCGTAGCGAATCTGGCAGGGCCCAACCTGGGGTGGTGGTGGAGGGAACCCATCGCCCTGTGCCTCAGTTTCCCCCTCACCTCATCTCACGTGGGGAAGCATCCACCACCAAGTTTCATCCCGTTGTTCCCTATGCAATACGGTAAGCCTCCCGTGTTGCCACAGCCACCACAGCTTATAATGGTCCCTCTTCACTTGCACTATGGAGCCCCACCAAAAGTAGATCTACATCATGGGATGGGAGCCATTGAGCTCCGTGCTCCAAGTGACAATGGAGCATTGTACGACAGGCAATTCTCCTGGCCCCTTATGGCTATAAATGTAAGCTTGATAGAATATAGGCAATATTGGATAAAGTTTCCAAAGCTAGGACCTTTCACACTACATGTTTATAGTACTGTGATTCTACTTTATTGCCATAGTTCTATCCTATGGAATCCTAGAATTTAGAATTTAGGGGACAAGTCATTTAGAATTGTCAGTCAAAGAGCCCCTGTTGCCTCTGGCCAAGCAACACATTCTAGAAGATACAGCTATGATACTTAAAGTACAACCGTAGTGCTCTAATCTGTAGTGTGAAAGGGTTTTCATCATCAGTTCACTAGGGTTTTCACTTTTTAGGAGCTATGGTTTCAGAATCCTTCATGGTTCCCTAATCTGTAGGTAGACAAAACAAACATAAATTGCTAAATAAAAACCTAGTTGTCCTATTAGTGCAGTTTAAGCCCACCAATCCTTGAGCGTTGGGGGGAGGGCTGGAGAATTTTATTTTTTTATACATCATTCTTTATATCGAGCTTTTTATAAACTGACCACATAGTCAGTAAATGTAAAGAGAGAGGAAACTGCCGACTACAAAGGTGCTTATTATTACAATGTACTGTATATACACATGTATAAGTCTAGCCAAAAATCAACCTCAAAAACCTACATCGATTTATTATAGGTCAATGAAAATGCTATATCTTAACTCTTTAAAAAAAAGAAAACACCAGTTTCTCTAAGTAAAGTGGGAACAAGTGAATATTTAGTCGATTCAGGGAAAATCAGAAAGAAGCAGTAACTCCTCTACTCTTTCTGTCGTGGCACTACCACTAATTTTTTTGAATGCCTGAATAGGAAAATAAGAGTAGAATTCACCCCTCTTACAACGTCAGCAGTCCCGTTTCACATTCTGCCTCCCCATCACACTCACACATGGAAACTTAAGAGCTAGCAATGCATTCATCTTACATTCATCACAAGGTCAGTATTACTTTTTTGTTTTTAATCAGGAGAAACAACAATATCCAAAACCCAAGAGATCCCTTGCCCTGCCCAAAGCCCCTTACATTAAAGAAGACGGAAATCAGTTTAAAAACATTTCTTTCCATGGGATCCTATGGTTCTGCATGTAAGCCCATAGGATACAAGTGACAGTGATCCAGGTTAAAACCATTTCTTTCCATAGGATCCTCTTGATCTCATGGAAACCCAGAGGATACAAGAGATTGCTGATGGTTAGGCAATAAAACAGGATAGTAAACTTTGATGGTTTCCATCAGACCTGTTTTTCATTTGTAAAGATGTTAATAAAGTGTGGTAAGAGGTAGGAGCTCTGAACACGATTGCTGACCCATGCTCAGAGTTTGTTCCTTTCAGGGCATTTCAGCCTCTTTTCAACCATGGAACATGTGATGAGCTCTGTTCCTCTCTGTGCTAGAAAAGAGGCTTAAGTGTCTCACAAGGGGGAAATTTCTCAATGTGATAAGGTTGGTTGCCAGAGTGCTCTCCTTTCAGGACACTTCTGCCTCTTTTCAACCACAAAGGGCTATGCATGGCTGCCAGAAGTAGTTTAACTCTTTGATGAGCTCAGTGCCTCTTCATGTTTGAATAGAGGCTGAAGTGTCCTACGGCTGGGAAATTTCTCAATGTGATAAGGTGGTTAGTGGAGTGACTCCTGGCTTATCCACAAGTTATTTCAAAATCCATAATTTTAGCCCCAAAACCTGCCCTTACTTATAAATGAGGTCAACATATGCATGATATGTATGGTAGTCCCTTGTTTTGGAACAAACTTGTTTTCTTTAGTATCAGAAATGACCAGTATAAATATCCCAGTAATCAGAAACTACAGGGCTATGATCAATATGAGCCCTTGGCTGGAAATTCAGAGTTCAGCAGATTACCCTTTTGGGGCCTGGAATATGTCTGTTTAAAATATTTCCACTCAGATTTGATAATCTCTGAGATTGGCTTATATCCTGCAGCTGAAGATGTTGGAAACCCATTCTATAGTAAAGATTTAGTCTTTCATGTGCCCCAATTTTTGTTATTGTTGCAGCAAACTAGTTCTGTTCTTCCTCTGGAAATGCTTAAAAATAAACATGAAATTACCATTCAAAAATATTGACATTCCTTGAGAAAATTTCAGCTATTGATCAAGACAAAAAAAATAGTAAATACAAAAATATATTATTTGGTTGTATTTTACGTTCAGTTCATTAAAATAACGCAGATGTCCTTAATAGAGAAGACTTTTCATTCCAAGTTATTTGTAAATGTTCTCACTCTCAGTGAGAAAAGGCATTATAAAATAATGAGGATGCAGCACTGGGGAAAAATAATCAACAAAATGTACTGTTTTCAATGCAAAAACATTTTTGACCAAAAAAAGATTTTTTTTCAAAACTTCGGCTCACAGATAAAATTTTCACACAACTCCCAAAATGTTCTTAATTTTGCAAAATCTCTTATAATATCTCCTAGCAGGGAGAAAGCTTTAGAAATTATTTATTCTTGTGTGTGAGAATGCTATGAGCATCTGTTTATACCCCTAGTCCAAGTCTTTTTTTTATTCCTTTATTAAACACCCTTCCTTACTGTGCACAGATACACTCCAATAAATGAAGCCAAAGCTCAGAAAATCTTGGAACACAGTGGCCATGTTTACTGGCCAATTCTGGTCCCAAAACATACAATTTCCAAGTGCTCCATCAAGCTATGAATTGGCTTTCACCACCATCAGACATATTAAAAATCATTTTTGACTAAATAAGGCTTTGATTGCCATCCCTCTCAAATAAGTGTTTTATAAAAGCATATAGTATTTCCCCACTAATAATAATTACAATACATTCACCCTCTCCCCACAAGGTCAAATTTCCCAAACTCAAATGGTATGCCATTCTGAAGTTTAGAATATAGCCTAGCTTCTCTTCCTTTGGGAAAATGGTAAGCAGATTACTAGTTTAGCTAGACAGAACTTTTTAAAAAAAAACAAGTAAAGCAAATAACCTAACTATTAATTAAATACCAAACTCTTATAAAGCCAACTGAGAGAGACAGACCCCCAAATGAAGGGCTTATAGTACCTACCACCTATTAATTTGTTTATTCTCTAAATACGAAATTTCATGGAGGAAGGCAAAGCAGCTCCTTCAAAGTTTATGGATTTGCCCATTCCTGCCAAAACCAAAGGGTTCTGCCAGCTAAATAAATGGCTGCCTCTAAACCTAAGCATTACTAAAGTTAGGTTCATCCCTGACAAACAAATATTCAGTCCTTGATGGTGCAAAACTCTTTTCCCTTAGTTCTTCGGTTGATTGGTTGGTTGGTCTATCTTTGATCTGTACTTTTGGCAACTCCTAATATAAGTTTAGCTTAGCTAGAATTAACAAGACCTTTCTAAAGGGGAAAGTAGGCACTCCATCATTAGGGGTGAGGTTGAAAGAGCTGCTGTTTCCCAAAGCAGCAATAAAAAGGGCAACTGGGATAGTTTAGAACATCACTGTTACATCTTCCACAGGGATCTAGGGGAGTCAAAAGTGTTTTAGGCGTGACCCTCCTACATCCGGGGTTACCTGTCCCTGGATTGTGTTATGTCATAAAGAACCTGTCTTGGATATACCACTTGTGATAGAGTTTAAGAGGAGGTAATCTGCACATTTCTTTTACTCCAGTCTGTTTGTGGCTTACTCCAATGTGAGTACTTCCAAATATATTGTACCACCTTATCAGTGCCTTTGCCCTGTGTATGCATGGAGAGTCCCAGGCCTCCACCGCCAGGCACCTGCTCTTACCTGATTTGTGAGGCCGTCCACACACCATGACCTTTGCCTCAGGTAGAGTGCTGCTCAGCCCCATCGCCCCCATTAGCTGAAAGTTCCCGCTCTCATGATCCATTTCTGGCTGAGTCTTCAGCTGGGGCCTGCCTGGTCTGTTTTCAGTTATTCAACTGCTAGATTGTCAAATTTCCACAAATCCAGAATTGCCAAATAGAATTGTGCACACAACTAATTGTTAATATGACTTCTTTCTTCTGTTAGTCTAGAAACCCTACATTTTCCCCTCTATTTTCTTTTCAAACAGTATCAAGGTTCTCCAGCCCAAGAGTGACTCCAAGATTAAGCCGGAAGCGAGCTCTTTCGATATCTCCCTTGTCAGATGCCAGCATAGATCTCCAAACAATGATTCGGACTTCTCCAAATTCCTTGGTGGCTTACATAAATAATTCCAGAAGCAGTTCTGCAGCTAGTGGTTCTTATGGTCATTTATCTGCTGGGGCAATAAGGTAAGGGTAGAATAGATCATAGAAATGATACTCAATCCATCATTTTTTCATACCTTTTCTGAAAGCCGTGAGACACCTCAGTTCTGATAGAAGCAGCAGCAGTCCCCTAGACATTACTCCCAAGTCTCATCATCATCATTCCATGTTGAGGAGGACAGAGCTATACGTTTCATGTAGGTGCCTATATCCGAAACTGGCCTGCTGCACTCATCTTAGATGGGTGACAGTGTCCAACTGTGAAATGATGCCAAATTATACTTCAGAGTGCTTCTTCTGTACATGGTATGGAGAGGAAAGATGCATTTTGTCCTTTGCCCTGTGTGGCAAATTAAAAGGTTTGATAGTTGACACCTTCATTTGGAGATGTTCTCTTGGCAGCCACATTTAACATTTTCTCAAAAAAATCAGCATTAATGGAGGAGAATCTGAAGGCAAAATACAAAATTCATTTCTGTAGTGTAAATTGCTTTACATATTTATAACAATAATTTTGTTGATTTCAAGGATGTAGAAGGCAATCTTAGTTTTTACATATGAACTTTCAAAGGCAAACCCACTCTGAACAAAAGTTAGAGATCTTAGAAGTCCACAACAATAGCACAGTAAGATTGTGCAGTGAAGTTAGTTTGTTCAGTAGTAAGGTTGGATTGTAAGGATTTCCAGTATTATAACCCCTACAATGATAAGGGGTAATAAGTGGTATGACTGTCATAAATGTATATATTTAACTACAGGAAGAGTCTCACACTTTCTCTAGTGTTTCCTGGAACTTCCAATAACTGTATTCCTGTTTTAATTTGGATTCAGCAGCAAACTCCACCTCTATTTTCATGGCTCTGCCTCCTCTAAAAATTTAGCAGAAGTGTGATCACCACAAAACTCTAAAAACATGGAGAGAATATTTTGCACACTACATACAGTGTTTGCTAGATATCGATATTGATCCTGAGTGTCCTATGGCTCCAGAAAACCCAAACTTTCTGGTCCCATATAGACCACAGAGGTGCCGTAAGTATCTTCTGCATAGAGAAAAACCAGTTTTAGTGGTTTTGATAGGCCTCATTAATTTAAAAAAAGGAACCACATCAAGACAAAAAAAAGCCAGAAACTACATTATGTGGAACTTCTGGGAAAATGTACCAGTAAAACATTAAATCATCGGACATAGTTATTCTTTAGGATTGCACATTTTAGATATCTGAAGGTTTAAAAACCAAAGCTCTCAAAACTGAACTCCTTTGTTGTCCTTGAATAATATATTCTTGGTCCAATCCTCATCTACAAGAAGGAATAAAATCCAGACAATTTCACTTTGTTTAGACTGTTTTCCAGAGCCAGTCACCCTTCTCAAATGTTCCGAACATGACCTTTTCCTTATTGTGATGCTTCTTTCCCCTTCCAGTCCTGCCTTCACCTTTCCTCATCCAATCAACCCAGTGGCCTATCAACAGATTCTGAATCAGCAAAGAAGCCTGAGTTCGGCGTTTGGACATACACCTCCTTTCATTCAGCCATCCCCAACGTTCCCTTCACGGCAGCATGTGGCCGTCATTTCTGTTAATTCCAGTCCCTCTCAAATCAGCAACAGTAACAGTTGCATAGCTGATTCAAACCAGGTAAGATCCATTCTGCCTTCCATCAGGATTTTAACAATGTTTACTTTAAACACCCTCACAAAAAGCCAGGGGTGCACCAAGGGGAACAATTTTATGGCCAAGGATGTTCCAGGGTGTGCACAGACTGCCGATTTTTTTTTTTTTAAAAAAAATAAAACCAATTCCACCCAAGGGGAAAAAAATTAAGTGTTTTTTATGCAGGAGATTCATGCAGCCTATTTAAAAAGAGAATTGCATCTTTGGGGCGAAATACAACTTGATGTTAGCAAGAAAAGTGTGGTCTAGGAAAGCCTGAAGAGGCTAAGGCTACAGAAACAGCCATGGTTATATGAAGCTGCAGGATTATTCTTAGGTTACCCTTGTAATTGTCTGCTAGTTTCACTCTAGAGCAGAGCTTTCTAAACCATGTGTTGTGACACATTCGTGTGTCAGCTGCAGTGTGTAGTTGTGTCACGTGAATGTCGCAAGAAAGCTCAATCTATGCAAAATAAGCAATGCATTGTATATTTTTAAAGGTATAAATGAAAGGTTTTCATGAGATATATTATGTCCCCATGCATTTCATTGTTACAGTTTATGTATGTGTTCATATCTCTTATAAGAGGTTGGTTTAAACTCCAATTCGCTAGTAAAACTGAATTACTGTGTTGCAAAATAATGTGTGTCTAAAAAGTGTGCCAATAACATGAAATGTTTGAAAAGCTCTGCCCTCGCTGTAAGACTGGATGTTTGTATTAGACACATAGAATGCCATTGGTATAATACTCCAGCCATCTCAAATGTGTGCACTTAGGCTCAAGTGCTCTGTCCAATGTCAGTCTCTATTCAATCTATGTGTTGAGGTTCATGTTTGCCCTGCACTTCCCTCCCCATTCTACCCCATATCCATTTGTCTGTGATGGTGTTTCTGCTTCACAGATGATCAAGCCCTGCATTGCCACAAGGGTAACATCATGTGCATAATGGGTGTAAGCAATATGAAGTAGCATCCAATGACAGTATCTTCCTGTTTGCTCTTGAGAACAGAGGGCATCTATTTGGAATGTCATATTTACACACACGATGCCAATTCATGAGACACCATAAACTCAGATTGGCAGCCTGAGTGCCATGAATTGGATGAGGAAGCCCACAGGGCTGAATCAGTCAGCATTTCTGCATGGAACAGTTTATTCCGGTGATTAGTTTGTCATGTGAATGTTTATCAAATAAAGGATGTGAAAAACAAACCTTGGAACAGAGAAACAAAATTCCTCCTCAGTGGTGATCCCTACCCTAGGCAAAAATGTAACTGGTTATCCTTCACAATAATTCCTTGTGTAATTTTGTTTTCAGTTTTCAAGCAGAAGAATAAACAAACCAGAGAATAAGTATTTGTGCTGACATATTTTGCACAGATATTTCAATATATTTCAGCAAAGGGGATCTTAATTAAAATTATGAGCAAAGAAAATGAAAAGATTTCAGTACACATTTATCACATTTCAAATGGAAAACTCCTGGGTCATTCAAATGTTCATCTTTATTTTGATATGAATGGTTTTCACATACATATGTGGGTTCTCTTTTCTTGTATTTTTCCCCCAGTGTTGTAACCATTCTCACTAACAATTCTCACTGAATTCATTTCTACATAAGGCTAGACAACCGTATTATTGCACTTTTTWAAATTAATGTTCTTTTTATTTTAAAACTAATTTAAAAACTAATTTATTATGTTTTATATGTAATTCTGTATGTATTATTTATATGTAATAGCATCGAATTGTGCCGATGTAAGCCGCCCTGAGTTCCCCCCCCCCCCCGGAGGGAGGGGGTTGAGAAGGGCGGGGTAAAAATGTTTGAAATAATAAATAAATAATAATATATTCCAGTTTAAGTAACTGTTGGTAGGTTAATGACAGGGTGGATCTCATTCTTCCAAAGACTGAGGCAACTACCTCACTGTGATTTTGGAATGGCATTCAAAATTTAACAGTTGGTACTCAAAATTGTCAGTGATGCTAATTATTTTATCTGTCATGGAAGAAGAAAAGTGTTTGTGGATTCTCTTGTCTTGTCTCATATGCCTTTTGCAAGACTATTTACTTTATTTATACTCCTCCTTTCTCCCCGTGGGGACTCAAAGTAGCTAACAACCACACACTCACAAAAGTAAGTGAGAGGGTGTAATTAGTAGCAAAATATCTCAGGCCAGCCCTCATAGTTCAATTTTTTATATAATGTCAAAGATGGGAAACTGGGACCCTTCAAAAATGGTTGGAAAGCAGTTCCTATCATCTTTCATCAAGGGCTTTACTACCTAAGGCTGACGAAAGTTGTACACAACATGTGGTCGGTCATAGTGTTTCATCCCTTCAGTAAGCTGTGGTTATGCAACATTTGCTTGTAAACCTTGATGTGACCACTTCACTCCCTACAACTCCATTTTTTCCCATAGAGCAAACTGAGCAGTGAGTCAGCTGTTAGCAGTACTGTCAATCCAGTAATTAATAAACGCAGTAAAGTCAAGACTGAAATGGAGACTCAACCACCAGCTTCCCCACCAACTCAGGTAACTCCTTGATACAGGTCTTTCTTTTGTATCTTAACTTGTGACTCTCCCCCCTGCAGAATTTTAGTACCAACAACTGTTGATTCCTCTTTGCTGTGAGCAGCAGGAGAACATGTATGTTGCAATAGTTTTGTTGCTTTGAGAACATAGAAAGATGCATCTATGACACAACACTGACACCCATTCAGATGTATTTCCTTTAGACTCTTTATCAATGATGTGACCGGCTCATATTTCATCTGGATACCTGTGATTGTATGATTTTCTTTGTCTTTGAGACATGAAAAGGTGTTTTGAACAAAAGTCATTTCTTTGGTGTACATTCAGTAGATTGGGGACCCTTCCACACAGTACTATATCCCAGAATATCAAGGCAAAAAATCCCACAATAACTGCTTTGAACTGGAATGTATCGCAGTGTGGACTCAGATAACCCAGTTCAAAAAAGATATTGTGGCATTTTCTGCCTTAATATTCTGGGATATAGGGCTGTGTGGAAGGGCCCTGGATCTCACTCAGTCTGAGCTTAAATGTATACTTCTGACACAGCTTCTGCTCCACTATGGTCAGCATTAAGTGTCATTCATGTATTGGGAAAATTAGCCATCGGAGTCATGCTGCAAAGATACTGAGGTGTCAATAAGGGTAGCAGCATGTTGTCCTTGAGAGGGGTCTCTACTGGGAACTGTAGGGGCCATTGCTACCATATCTGTTCTCTCCAGTGTTGCATATTAAGAAGTAGACTTAGTTCATAAAATCTCATGCTACCAATATGGTTCTCTCCATTAGTCTCTAAGTTGCTATGAGATTCCTTTGCAGCACGTGGCCTGGCTTGTTTTCTTGGGTCATATGAACTCATCCAGTTGGCTTACTATTGCTGTGATTGTTTACTCATGAAAAAAACTCCACTGTGTAGTTGGCTGCACTTGAACTTTGGACCATTACTGCAGCTGCACTTGAACTTTGGACTATGGGATACTGTGGTCCAGAATGCACATATTAAGCTGGAATGGGAATTCTAATTGGAAAATTCAAACTTCCAATGGAAGAGGAGGATAATAGCAGTAGAGATTCCCTTCTATATCAGGAACAGTACCAAGGCAGCAAGGAAGAGTGGATATGTCCATTTCTCTGTAACATCATGGTCATGTGGAAGCATTTAAATATATAAGTTACTCCAACCCATGAGCAATGCTACAACTCACATTTCAAAAACTTCTAACAGATAGCACTATGAAAGATGCATGGGTTTGATAGTGGGTGGTTTATCTGGACAAAATTTATGTGAGTGGGAAAGTTTCAAGGTATCAGGTCCCCTACCCTAAGTCCCAGCATGATGGGTAGGTGCAGGTTTTCATGAACGATTGGACTAAGATATTCTATAGACTCTTCAGTAACCGAATCCTTCAGGTGGCTTTGACAGAAATGTCATATTTCAACCAAGTTCCTAAAACAAATTATATTTGATATTTGTAGACTGCAGAGCAAGCAGTAACAGTGTCTATGAGCAAACATAGATTACAAGGAAGAACCTGTATGTCGGTAGGAAACTCTCCAGAAAGAAGCCTTCCCGGTTCAAAAAGGAATGGCTCACCATCAGCAAGCATCCTTTACCTCGGTGACACTACATTTGACACCTAGAAGAGCCCACCGGCTTCTGTGTTCCTGTCGGAGCCGCACACTTCCAAACTGTTTAATGGCTGACAGTATCTATCTGACCGTTCTTTATCACAACTGTAAACTATTGGGAGTGCTCTGGGCACTTCATTTTCATGAAATATGAGGCTATGCTATTGTCAAGCCAACAGAAGAGTTGATGACAAATTTCTCTTTCAGCTCCAGTTCAGAAGCGGGTTTTGGCATGATGCATGGGGACAGCAACATGTGCAATCATCAGGGGGCTGGTAAAATTGATGAAGATGGTGTATCTGGGAAAGATAAACATGCTGTAGTCAGCACGATTAGGGCAAGGAGGCCTCTCTCCAGAGCTTTGGGATTTAGCAACACCTCAGCATACCGTAGCCGACAGCAACGCATGACGTGAAATAGCCAACCTGCTGTACTCTCATCTTAATCAGGTCACAGATTGCTGTCTCTTACAACGCAAGACCAGAAAAAAAAAGATGTTTCTGTTTAGAATTCTGTTGAAGAATGGAAACATGTTAATTTGAACATCCTTTAGTTAATTCCACAAGCAGCTCAAAATTTTGCCTTCTAACCCAAGATTTAGAATGTATTTAAACTCAAAAGCTTCTCCACTCACCATGATTTTATTTTATTGTAATTTTAATTGTATTTCTTGTATTTTAATTGTATTTTAACTTTTGTATCCATCTATAAATCTTTGTTTTTTAAAATGTCTGTACTTGTGTTATTTTAATTTTTCATTAGGTGTGTTTATTTGTTAGCTGCCTTGAGCCACTATGGGGAGTAGTAGTAGTAGTAGTAGTAGTAATTTTAATTACACACTGTTTTTAACTCATAAACCAAAAATATAGAAAATTTGAATGTCTTACACAGACAGCATTTACAATATACCGGTATGTTTCAAGCAAAGAGTTTGTCTGGAAGTCATGATTGGCAGATGTCCCCTGTTTGGGTATACTATTGGCAACTAACATGGGTTTTCCACTATATATTATGTGTAATAACTCCCATTTGCTCTCAGTAGAATTAAATTTTCAAGTACATACAACTCACAAGGTATGGGTGTAGAGCAAGCTGAGCATAAAAAGCCCTGGATGTGGAGTACAGTGTAACACAGCGGGCATCTTCTTGGATGTAGACACATTGCCTCTCTGTCTATTGATCATGCCTCTGCTGATGGTTCATCTACAGAAAGGAATGTATTTATGATATTTGGGCTCTGTGTGGGTTGATACACTTTTCAGTGGAAAGTTGGGCATACTACCAGTCTCATCTATGTCTTATGAGAATGTTTATGAGAGGGAAAATCTGGATGTTTTTGCATACCTCTGGATAGGTTGGCAAAATAACTAGCTACCAGTCGTTTATAAACTGCAACAGCAAAATGATTTGACCATTCTAAATTAATTAAGGGGGGGAAGGTCGCCATGGAGACAGCATGCTATAATAATGTGAGTGACGGAAAGGAAAAGTGTCTACTAAATGATATGTTCTCGGTTTCTTCATGGTACAGGCATTTGTTATGTATACAATATTTACAAACATTGACAAATACACAAATTGAGAATTAGTGGAGAGTTTCTTAGCTTGCTCCAAGAAAATCCCCTCTCCCCACACATATACACATGCATACACACACACATTTATCTGAGGCTGCTTGGCTCCTTCGGAGCACCTCTGTTCTTTTGTCAGGCGAATGCAGCTGTAATTCCCAAAAATATTTTCCTTGGACACCAAATTAACACATCCTGGCATCCTTTTGGTAGCATAAGGTATAAATTGTGCTGTATATGCAGAATGATTTTTTCAGGGAGAACACAATGTGCAATTCTTGTATTCAATACCATAAGCAAAGTTGTGCATATAGGAGTATATGTGCCAATGCATTAAAGTAGACAGAGCAGTCAGTGGATGCACATTGCCTTTATATGTTGTTTTTGCACATTGTGCATTTTAATGGTACTTATATTCATTATAAGGGTTAGGTGACCTAACTCCACTGGTGGACATTTATGCTACACTGAAAAAAAAAGGATCACAGCCTGGATCTTAGAGGAAAGTGAAACACAATGGTCACAAAACAATGATTAGACTCTTAATTTGCAGCTCCCAGAACTCCCCAAATCCGCGTGTCTATCTTCAAGTCACCTATCAACTTAAAGTGACCCTGTGGATTTCATAGAGTTTTCTTAGATAAGGAATTCTCAGAAAAAGTATTGCCAGCTCCACCCTCTGAAATTTAGCCTGGTATTCATTGTTGGTCTCCCACACAAGTACAAACAAGAACTCATCTTGGATAGCTTCCAGGATCAGACCCAATCTGGTGCCTTTAGGGTGTTTAGGGCCTTCTGAAGCCCCTAGAAACCAACCCCCATTTTTATTAGAAATTCAAATGATTGCTCTGGCAAAAAAAAAAGTGTTTGAAATGACTTTATCCCAAAAATGAATGTACTTCAAATGGTTTTACTTTCATGCTCAAACACCTGCCCTTCACATACCTTAAAAAAATTAAAAAACTCAAATCAGTTGAAAATAAGCCGAAAACTATAAGCAATATGGCAACACAGGTGGTAGTGTTGGATCTGCTGATGTGGCTCCTCTCTCCCTGCTGTATATAGTGCTACTAGTCCTTAACCCCTTTACTGTGTCAAGCTACCTATCAGCAGACCGTGTGTTAGAGAAATTGCTTGGCTAATTTCCAGCTCACTAACTTCTTTCTCCAAATGCAGTTTCACAGAGATGGGAGAGACCCCAGGCAGTCATCTTGACCAGTTGCCTCCAATTCAAAATATTGTGTATTTTTAACATTCCTACTACCTCCTATGGAATCAGTCTGGGTCATTCCCCTGATTGCAGAAGTAAGGCAACAGGGGCTAATAAGCGCCAGTCTCTCTTCTTATCCATACATAATAATAAAACACAAGCTGTTATGGAACACTTTAGCCCCTTTCAAACTTCAATTGACCATTAAATAGAAAAGCATTACAAACCTCAGTAGATCTTGAGAAAGGACTTATATTAAAGATTATAATTAGTAACAATTCATACTAAAATCCAGCTATTTATTATTAATCCTCTCATGCTGTAAGTTAAACATCACTTCACTTATTAGCTATACCTGCTTCAATAACATTAATCAGATTTGTTCCTTCATTTTCTCATTTAATAACCATCTAGCATAACATCCATTATGCTTCTCTCTTTCCTTAATTTTTATTATAATCTCTATGGAATTTATAGAAATGTTAAATGGCTTCTAAAAATCGTATTTCATCAATTCAATGAAAAATTTTTCCCCAAAAAATTGAGACTCAAAAAAGGGATGCATGCATGCCTTAAAATCAATAGTTTCCTAGAATTACATTATATATATATATATATATATATATATATCTCCAGAGCGGTGGGAGGGAAGCCAGCTGTCCTACTCAACCCACAAAAAGCCAACCCGGCTGCACTTGATGCTGCCACCATTTCCCCAGCCCGCACCTTTCACACAGCTAATACAGTCTGGGCTACTACTTCTGCTGCCATTGGTCGTTGCCATCCCTCAATGTTTCAGGTTTGCCTTGAAGGGAGAATATTGGGGGGTGGAGGTGGCTGGGAGCGCAGGAGCCTCTTTCTTTCTCTCGGGAGGCAGCAGCAGTGCTGGGGCAGGAGACAGGAAGAACCAGCCTTGTTTGCCAGGAGGGTGAGGTGGCAGCTCTCCATTGCTTCTGGTACACAGAGCTTATTCCTCTTGTTCCCTCATCCCCTCACTGCTGCCGTCTCCACTCCCAATAGAGGGCCTGGACTTCTCTCTCTCTCCTCCCAATGGCACCAGAAGCCCCATCTACACTGGCCATTTAATGCAGTCTCAAACCGGTATTGAAGAAAGTGGTTTTGCTGTGCAGATGATTACACAGGAAATCCTGGAACCAGTTTGGAGCCAAGATGATTACACAAATCACAGAACACTAATCTTTCTTTTGTGGGTGCTTTTTGTCTGGCTGCCACAATTTAGAGCTATTTTCAAACTGCATTGAATTGTCAGTGAAGATGGGGTCTTAGGGCCCTTCCACACAGCCATATAACCCAGAATATCAAGGCAGATAATCCACAATATCTGCTTTGAACTGGGTTATCATGAGTCCACACTGCCATATAATCCACTTCAGTGTGGATTTTATACAGCTGTGTGGAAGGGGCCTTAGACTCATCTAAAATGCTCTACGGCCATTTTCTTATGGTAGTTAGCAGCTATTGTGTAATCTACAGGTGACTGAGGAGTTGAAGCAAAACCCATCCATCTGATGCAGAACTGACTTTCTATCTTTACAGGAGTATCTAACAGACTTGAAAGAGGAGCTGGATAAGGATGAATGCAAGCAGGAGCCTGAAGTTATTTATGAGACCAACTGTCATTGGGAAGGTTGTGCAAAGGAGTATGACACACAGGAGCAACTGGTCCATGTAAGTGAAGCCAGGAAAGCGAACCAATGCATGCATTGTAAAGTGTGTCCTCATCATGATGCTGTGTAGCCAGGGGAAAAAAGCCTATGAGCCACATATCTGGTCTATGTGCAAACCTTGCCAAATAAAATCAGTCTCCAGGATGAATGGAGCAGCAGGACCCTTCAATTGATCATTGTTGTGTTTTTTTCTGAGCATCAGGCTGTTTAAAATGAGAAACCCTGGTAATTATACAAAGACTGAGGTGTTTATGATTTTTATTCTACTTTTTTATCCTAGAATGTCAAACAACGTCTTTTCCTAGAGTGTCCATGATGAAATCTTAACTCTAGGCCCTTCCAGACAGACACTATGTCCCAAGTTCTGATCCCAGGTTTTCTGTTTATCCCAAATTATCTGGCAGTGCGGACTCATATAATCTTGTTTAAAGCAGAAAACCTGGGATCAGATCATGGGATATAGGGCCTCAAAATGAAAGTAGGAGCAGTTCCATTCTGATCTTCTTTACAGAAATTATGATCCATCTATCTCCACCTTGGCCTGGACAATATGAGAATATGCACCTCATCTCTGTGATGACCCAGTTAGTCAACTTTGCTGCCATTTAAACCAGGACTTTAAACCAGTTGAGCCTCTACTAGATCTTGTTAGCCTCTAACACTTCTCCAGTGGATTCATATTTTCTACATGGTGGTCTTTTCAAATCAGTTTATTTCACCGCTGCTTCCAAAAGTGATGATCTCCATGTGGTGGAGTCGGCTTGAATTGTGAAATGATAAACTGGTTTCCCCAAACCCAGAAAGTAAGGTAAGCTGTTGGCACTTGTGAAGGGATACCAAGCTTGGAAGGAATTTGTGAGTTCGAGATGTATTCATATAGTACTACACCCAGAGAAAGCAATACATTATAATTCCACCGTTAGTAGATATGTAGCATATCAGCATTTTAAAAATACATAAATCCTTTTGAAGGGTTTCCCTTTTCTCAAAAATAACTTAAATTGTTTACTTTTTCATTGGGCCCCACACCGGAAGAAAGGTAGAGTATAAATCAAATGGTAGGTAGGTAGACAGAGATTTACTTTGGGGCCCTTCCACACAGCCATATAACCCAGAATATCAAGGCAGATAATCCACGATATCTGCTTTGAACTGGGGCCCCTTCCACACAGCTGAATAAAATCCCACATTTTTTACTTTGAACTGGAATATATGGCAGTGTGGACTCCGATAACCTAGTTCAAAGCAGATATTGTGGGATTTTGTGCCTTGATATTCTGGGTTTTTGTTTATCGTGTCAGAAGCGAATTGAGGATACAGTTGTAATTATATTTAAAAACACAAACAAAGTTAAAAACTTGGCATTATACTAGATTTCCTTTGACCAGAAGCTGGCCACTTGGAGTGTGTCTGTGGCTGTGAGAAGGTCCTCCATTGTGCATGTGGCAGGTCTCAGGTTGCATTGTAGTAAGTGGTCTCTTGTTTGCTCTTCTTAACACCCCACTTTGTAGCACCATTTCTTCAGATTGGCCATGGATTGAGGCTCTAGGTCAGTGGTTCTCAACCTGGGGTCCCCAGATGTTTTTGGCCTACAACTCCCAGAAATCCCAGCCAGTTTACCAGCTGTTGGGATTTCTGGGAGTTGAAGGCCAAAAACACCTGGGGACCTCAGGTTGAGAACTAGGTTTTAGCCTGCCACTTTTGGACTCTCACTTGCTGAAGTGTTCCTGCAAGTATCTCTGTGGATCTTAGAAAGCTGTTTCTTGATTGAGGCATTGGCATGCTGGCTGATACCTGAACAGAGGATGGGCTGAAGTTGTCAATGCCTTGATCCTTTCATTACAGACTGCCTCTTCCCGATGAATGTCAGATGGTGCAATACTGGCTAAACAGTACAATTTCATTAAGGGCCACAGCCACTCTTTTAACATGATGAGATGTATTCTGGGTTATATGTCTGTGTGGAAGGGCCCTGGGTTATCTAAGTCAACACTGCCATATACACCAGTTCAATGTGGATTTTATACAGCTGTATGGAAGGGGCCTTTGAAACAAAATACACTCTCATCCAGCCTACTGTCACAACAAACCATAAGTCAATATTTCAAGTGTTAAATATTCCTGCTATGCAATTTAGTGAGAACAAATTGTTCACTTAAATGTTACAGTTACAATTGAAAAATAATGAATTTATTTATATTAAGCTATAACTGTAATGTAGCAAAGTTATTCCAAAAAGACAATCACTTCAAATAGCTCTCTGTTTGTTATTGCTTATTTCCAAGCTCTGGCTAAATTATAGTTTGATATTACATCTTAAAGGGCCAATATATTCTACTTCATGAGGATGTTGAAAAGAAAAAATGGTAGTTGCCTCTCCAAGCGTCATTGAAGAAGACCCAAAAATTTAAAAGCACCTCAAAGAACTTAAGTGAGGCACAGGAGAGGGTTGGTTGGATGGATAAATAACTTTGAGAGTTTCTATATCTCCAAAACATAATGCAGTGAGAAACTAGAGGAGTGTGTCAGAATAGTCTAAAACCGCTAGAAATACAAGCATGGGACCTTTAAACAGTTGGTGATCTTGGTCACAAGCTGTTAAGCAAAAATGTGGTAGGAAGTGTTGAGAAAGTTGTACACAAGCAGAATGCATAGTTATATATAGACCTTTTTAATGAGGATTTGCTTTCTCCAAAACATTGATTCTAAACCAGAGTCAAATCCTTCATCTCTGTGGTATACAGAATTACAATCCACATGCTAACCCTCACCATTGAGTGGAAAGGAAATTCAGAAATGAAGTAGCCCTCCAGCCTTAAATTTTAAGGCTTTCCATTGGATCTTTATTTTTAGCCATTAAAAGAAAAGAAAACCCCAGGAGCATTACAATGCACAAGCAGTACTGTTACCAGACTTCTTTAAATTCAAATGTTTGATCATCCCTCAACCTGTAAAATAGAAACTGAAGATCTGTAGCAATGGAAGCCTTTTATGAGGTGGCAAAATCAATAGTACATGGAGCTGGGTACACCTTCTTTGTTTCAGGTTCTTGAAGTGTTTTTTTTCTTGCTATAGACCAGTGGTTCTCAACCTTCATAATGTTATGACCCCTTAATAAAGTTCTTCATGTTTTGTTGACCCCCCCCCCCCCAACCATAACATTATTTTCGTTGCTACTTCACAACTGTAATTTTGCTCCTGTTCTGAATCGTAATGTAAATATCTGATATGCAGGGTGTATTTTCATTCACTGGATCAATACCCGATATGTCCAAATTTGAATATTGGTGGGGTTGGGAGGGATTGATTTGCCATTTGAGAGGTGTAGTTGCTGGGATTTATTGCTTACTTACTTACTTACTTACTTACTTACTTACTTACTTAGGCGATCCCTCATAGCTCAAGGATTATTGTCTTCCAGATGTTGTGTCTTGGCAGTAGGTCCATAGGTGGCTGTGGAGCCCTAATCTTGATCCACATGTTCTCCCGCAGTGAGGACATCGGTTTCCAGACGGAAGGTGGTCCCGATCAGGGTTGGCTTGATATGCCTTCCTCTTGGCACATTTCTCCCTTTTGCCCTCTGTTCGTGCCTCTTCAAATTCTGCAACATTGCTGGTCACAGCTAACCTCCAGTTAGAGCACTCAAGGGCCAGGGCACCCCAGTTCTTGGTGTCTATGCCACAGTTTTTGAAATTGACTTTAAGCTCATCCTTAAATCTCTTTTCCTGTCGACCAACATTATGTTTCCCGTTCTTGGGTTCAGAGTAGAGTAACTGCTTTGGGAGATGGTGATCGGGCGTTCAGACAACGTGGCCAATCCAGTGGAGTTGATGGCGGAGGAGCATCGCTTCAGTGCTGGTGGCCTTTGCATCTTCCAGCACGCTGACATTTATCCGCCAGTCTTAGTTTGCCTACAATGCAGGAGCATTCTGAACTCCATCATCGGTGGAATAGAACCAAACTTAGCACATAGAACTCCCATGATCAACAGAAAATACTGGAAGGGTTAGGTGGGCATTCGTCTTGAGTTTCAGAGTTCAACTACATCCAGAGAGCACTGTGGACTCAAACAATGATGGATCTGGACAAACTTGGCACAAATACTCAATATGCCCAAATGTGAACACTTGACATTTGGGAGTTGTAGTTGATGGGATTTATAGTTCACCTACAGTCAAAGAGCATTCTGAACCCCACCAATGATAGAATTGGGCCAAATTTGCTACACAGAACCCCCATGATTAACAGAAAATACTGTGTTTTCTGATGGTCTTTGGCAACCCCCCAGAGATCCCAAGCCCCAAGTTGAGAAATGCTGCTATAGAATGTAGATCATGGGTGGGCCAAGCAAAGCCTTCCAGGTGTTCTTGAACTACCACTTCCATGATGTTTCATAATTGGTTAGGTAATAAAACCTCGTAGAAATTGCTACCAACATCTGGATGGCCATACTTGGCCCATCCCAACATTGATTAAAAAAGACAATCCATAATTGATGAAGACTCCAAAGTAGTTGTTCAATTCACTTCAGTAAGTTAACTGGGATATGCAGTAGGATATCTTTATGTCTTGATTTATTGATATCCTATCATTTTCTCCATCTTGAGACTCATGCTGGCTTAAAAATTTAACAGTGATGACTTTCAGTTGTATTAGTTTTATAGTCCATTCTTTGTCATTAGACTTTTCCCCATCAAAAAGATTGTTGGAGTATAGAGGTTTTTTTGTTTTTGTTTTTTTGTTTTTGAGAGAGAGAGCAATACGAAGTCTCAGCCTTCCTATCCCTCATTACTGGCTATTAGAAAAAACGCTGTATACTGATTAAAATGCAGTACAACCATCCCTTACCTGCAGGATGAAAAACCACAGTTTCATTTATCCACATTTAATAAAATATATCTTCTGTATAGTATTCTTGGTCCTTCCTTTCAAGAGGGTTCACTGTCATCCACAGTTTCATGTATCCATGGAAAATCCGGAAACATGTCAATTGTGGATACAGGGCTCATACTGTATTGACATAGATGGGGGAAATCTCCATTCAGATTCCAATTCAGCTGGGAAGCTTATGCGGTGATCTTGGGCCAGATACTAACTCTTAATCAAACTGACTCACAAGATTGCTGTGTAGATTAATATGGTATCAATATGCTGAGAAAGAATATAAATATAAGAGAGAGAGAAGAAGAATATCCAGGACTTCTTAGAAGAAGTGGACAAACTTGTGGAGCAAGTGCATCCTGCACAGCCACATAGCTAGTCACTTGCTTATTAAATTTAATTCAGTTGTGTGTGAAATACATTCATTTTGCATAAGCAAATTTATGAGTATTGATCTTTCTTTACTTTCTGTGTTAAGGTATTGTATCAGCATGGGTAGGCTCAGTTACGACACAAAAGCTTTCATGGACTCCAGTTGCATTGGATAAAGTGGACTGGAAATTTATTTCCAGTTGGTCTCAAAGATGCGAAAGGATTCCCTTATATCTTTTTGTCCACATATAAGATCTTTAAAATAAAAATAAACCAAAACAGGGCCATGTTCAGCAAGACTTCAGTGAACTGTACTGCAGGGAATAACCCACACATGTTGTTGACTATCTCATGTAATAACCTAGCTTATTTGTTATTTGTGTAATACTAATATAGCACCTTCCTGCACGCCAGGGCCCCTGTGGTGGTGTACAAACCTTTAAAACAATACAGAGATAAAAACTTTAAAACTCAATTAAAATATCATTTAAGAACTTTTGGGGAGACAAAAAATCTCCTAAAATGTATCCTTAAAATAATATAAGGCTTCTCTTCAATTTTGGCTTCTTCTCTTTCAGCACATCAATAATGACCACATTCATGGGGAGAAAAAGGAGTTTGTGTGTCGTTGGCAAGAATGCACCCGGGAGCAGAAGCCATTCAAAGCACAGTACATGCTGGTAGTACATATGCGGAGGCACACTGGAGAAAAGCCACACAAGTGCACGGTAAGATGGCAAGGCCGTTGTACACCGGGAAAAACCCACACAGATTGATGTGCCAGAATGTATTGGCTAGAGTTTTATAATCTCCGTCTAAGCCCATAAAAATCCAAATAGGAGCCAAAGACCTAGGATCTTATGTTTTCATCTTACATAAAACTCTAATTACTCACCAAATTACAAACCCCAAGATTCCATAGGATGCAACCAAACACTACACATGATTCCATCTTAGCTGTCATGCCTGCTGTCATGACCAAACTTGACCAGAGAGTCATCTAGGCTGCCAATTTCAGAAGCATCCTTACTTAATTGGGACAACAATGGAACAAGTGTCCAAATTTATATTTCAGACTGGCTGTTCTGTTGTTTGGACCAGGGCAGGGAAACATTAAAAATAAATCGCTAACTGTCCTGCTCCGATGACCTTTGTTCACATTTATGTTCTAAGTTATTACGTATATGCCAATTTAAAAAAAACTTCATTACCATGTATTTCTTATCAACAATAGGCATTTCTTCAGTGGATCTGATGGATGTCTGATACTACAAAGCAAGACTGAGAAACTTGTGGTTCTCCAAATATTGTTTGCTGCAGCTCTCAGCAGTCCTGGCCAGCACTGCCAATGCTGAAGCAACATCTGGAATGCTACAAGTTGCCCACTTATGCCATATAGTAGGCCACACCCACATATTACATGGCATACCTTGTTGACACTGGTATAATAGTGTTATACTGGTTATTTACTGTAGAAAATTCATGAAATTCAGAAAACATAACTATATATTTAAATGCTGGTGTGGATGCCTTAGAGAACTCCAGCCCACTCAGGATCCTCAGGCACATGTACACATATGTGAAAATGTTCTCCAGAGCATAAGTGGAGTGGTGGTTTCAGTGTTGGACCAGAACTCCAGCAGACCAGGGTCCACATGCCTATTCAAAGAAACCATGAACTCATCACTCTCTCTCAGCCTTGCACAAATGCAACAGCAAACCTCTTTCAAATAAATCTTGCCAAAAGAACCTTATGGGTGAATTATTATAAGGTGAAGTCAACCTGAAGTCTCTCGGGAATGCTCTCATTGAATGTTCCTGCATGGTAGGTGATTAGACTGGATGGCCCTTGTGGTCTCTGCCAACTCTATGATTTTATTTCTGTGATTTCTAATTTCTAATAACATCAACAAATGTTATCTGCCCCACAGGCACTTGCTGTCAGAAATACTAGTATGACAGTGGTATCTCCATAATGATCACATCTTCCATGTAAAAATGTATAAAGATGCCTATAGATTGGGGTACAGGGGAGTATTTGGCCTTTCTGATATGAAGAACTACAATTCCCACAATCTCTTACCATTAACCATGCCGGGTGATGCCCATAGGAGCTGTGAGCCGAAATATCCAGAGTGCGGCACCCCTGCTTGACAGAGTGGGCTGGATTTAAAAAGGCAAGCACCTGTTTTAAATCAGCTTCCCAGATTATGAACTGCAGTTTTCCTTTTTTTAAAAAAAATCCCCCAAATGCTCATGAAAGCCAAGATCTGCCCAGGATTTATGCTCTTCAAGGAGGTGGAGATTAAAACCAGATGAGATGGAAAAATGCCTCCAGCTGATTAACACTCCAGTTTTGTTTTCTTTTAGTTTGAAGGTTGCTCCAAAGCCTATTCACGGCTCGAGAACTTAAAGACACACCTGAGGTCTCACACTGGAGAAAAGCCTTATGTCTGTGAACATGAAGGCTGCAATAAAGCTTTTTCTAATGCTTCTGACCGAGCAAAACACCAGAACAGGACGCATTCCAATGAGGTAGGTGAAAGGTTTTTTACCACAATCTAAATGGGATTTTAAAATGCAGCTAATATATACACACAGGGCTTGTTTTATTATATATATATATATATATATATATCTCCCTCCTCCCTCTCTAATGGCAAAACATGCTAGGTTTGTGTGTGTATGTTTGTGTGAGCCACAAAACAGCAGGGCAAACCATGACTTCTACCCCGTGGCTTACCATTTCCAAAAGCCTTCCTGGATCAAAATAGCTCTCTATTTCTACTGAGAAGGAAAAAGTGTATGGAACTCATATGCAGGTAATGGGCTTGAATGGATTCATGAAGTCTGAGTGCAAGACAAATGTGTTGTTATGTCCTGCTAATGAAGACTAGTTATTAGTAGCTGGGGAAGACAGGAAATTACCATGTGATGGTCTGCTGGAAATGGTTAGTGCCTAGACTGAAATTTATATTACCACTAATTAAGAAAGCAGCAAGAGAAAGAGAAAATGCCTCAAAGTTCTCAAAACAGCTGTGACCAGGCAGAGTGTGGCCCCTGGCCTCATTTGTCATGATTAATATTAATTATTTCTGAACAAGTAGAACACTAGAAATACAACCCACACAAAGCAACAGGTTCAAATCTACCTATTTGAGGTGGCATCATGAAGGGACATCATACTGGGATGCCTCCACCTGACAGCTTTATTTTTTACCAACCAGCCTCTTTTTCTAGAATAGTACAATGTTTTCTTAAGGAAGAGGATATGAATGTAAGATGGTATGCACTTTTTGGATGAAACAATTTGAACATAACACATTGTGAAGAATATGTTATATAAATCAATTGACTATGAGTGCTTGGAGGATACATCAGGGTTAGCCCTAACATTAGACTAAAAGTGGGAAGCTTCTTTCAAACTGAGGGCCACATATAGTTTCAGAAAAGTTCTTGGAACTTTTCAGATTCAGATTCAGTGATAGACAAGTCCATTGTATATGATCAAAACCACCAACTTAATGTAGATTGAATTCTTACAGTAACTATACCTTCATAAAGGGGCAAACATGTAAATACTGGGAACCTACCAAGCAATAGTCTAGTGAGGAAGGGGAATGGTCATTTGTGGAAATACATATAGGACAGGACTGGGACTCCAGGAACAGTAGATTCAGACCTATCTTCATTTCTGCATTAGAAAGAAAGAATGTTAGGGGAGGAAGAGTTGATAAGGCAAAATTGTGTGAACTACAGGTTTTCTTGAACCTCCAAAGGTAGGTGTAGAATCATGTGGCCCACAGGCATCATTTATTTATTTATTTGACCTGGCTGTGTGCGTTTCTCTGTCTTCTTCTACCAGTAGCAAAACCCTCCTTCATAGACTTCCCCAAAATTTCAAAAAAAATCATGTAAACCTAATCAATAAATGTTTAGTAACTTTATGAAAAGGTCAGAGGCAAACTTCTGAACTCATAAGGCCAATCGTACTGAATTGGGAGCATGGGTAATAAAAGGGAATACATTAAAAAAATAGTCCAAATAATCCTTCAGGTTTGGGGCATAAGCCCTTATTACCAACATTCAGGGATATATCCCTCCATTCAAAGCATCTGCTTCCCATTTTATATTTTGACTCATTTTACTCAGCTCCTATCCATCAAATGGCACTTCTAGATGACAGTATGGAAATTTGATTGCATCCGATCCCATTCCCATCTCCTATTCATGTCCAATTGTACCCTAATCCACCCATTTTACAAGGATGAGCTGATGAATAGAAACGGTTCTGGATATACATCAGTCCAAACTGGGCAAAAAGGTACACAACAAACACAAATGCCCACTTCTTGCTCATGTTGAGAGAAAATCTACCCGCTTATTCTTTGAATGGTCTCTTTCCAAGATCTCCATGGAAAAGTACTTGAAACAGCTGTTAGCCTCAAATGGCCCTTTTAATGAATCCAGCCCTTCAGAGGTGGTGTTGGGACTGCCCTCCTCTAACCACATGTTGCGCAATGCACTTTGGATTTGGGACTTAATAAATGGCATGGGTGGGCAAACAGGAGGAAAGTGGAGGAATACCTTCCTGTTTTCTTCTTCACTTTCCAGCTGTGCAGAGCTTATTTGTGTTGTGGTTATCAGTGACTTGGGCTTTCAAGAGACACAGTGCTATCATCTTCAAAAGCACTTTGTGCCTATGGAATTCACTCCACTTCAGTTGACAGGTGATGGAGATGTAGAGACAGTGTGATAGATTTTAAATTCAGTGTAAGTTGTGTCACTCTGGCTTTCCATAAATGATGGTGCCACTCTCCTTCCTGGCAGTCCCCTCTCCCACCTCCCATATTTCAACAGAAAGGTTGCCTTGAAGAGATTCCCTGCATATCCCAGCCACATCCTATGCTAATCCTTTTAACATTCCTGCGGTGACTGGATCAAACACAAAGCAAGCAAAAATACTCTTTGGCAAGATGTCGAAGGAGTATTTTTAAGGGTAGGGACATTATGGCAGTTTGCAAGACCTGAATCTTGGCTCAAACTTTGAAAAATTACAGCGAAAAATATTAATATAGCATCCTGTTTTACAGAAAGCTAGAATGACACAACTTACACTGAATTTACAATGCATCAGATTGTTCCTCCATCTCCATGGCTGTGCAGGTCGTATCCATTGCTTGCAACTCAAAAGAGGAGGCACAATTTGGAAAAAGTTCATGACATTTGAGTATTTCAAATGTTTTAAGTTGTTTCAACTATTGAGAACAATAAGAAGATTCAAAGTAAGGCAGCCACTTCGCGAAGCTGTGTTTGAATGTGTGAAGCTGGCATCTTGAAAGGCAGCTAAGAAAGGCAGTGAATAGTAATTGGAATACTGAATCTGACTAGAGATTGGATACAATGAACTTTGCCTTTTCCTATCATCTCCTTCTAATTCAGTATTCTGTGCAAAACGAAACAGGGAGGAATGCAACCCACATACTATATATGGTCCTTTGGATCCCAAAGTGCAGCCTATGAGATATTCGCTCCTCAAAACACCCAAATCAATTCCAAACCACCTGCCAAAGTGATGGATTATTTGTCATTTTCCAAAACCCTGGGAAAAAAATCTACTTGCCAAAATGGTGGTACCAGTCTACCCACCCGTACCCAAAAATTGCAGGTTCATTGGTTTTTGATCTGATGGTTGCTCTTATATGCTGTTATAATGTTGTTTTATTATTTTAATGCTGTTGTTTATGTATTTTAATGTGTTATTTTTAAACTATGTTTGATCAGGCACATCCCCATGTAAGCCGCCCTGAGTCCCTCCGGGGAGAAAGCAGGGTACAAAAATAAAGTTATTTTATTATTAGATAATGGTGGAAGAAGTACTGCAATGTTACTTCTAATTTATTTATTTATTTACTGTACTTATATCCTGCCCTTCTCGAACCCTAAAGGGACTCAGGGCAGTCTTACAAAGGCAACAATTAGATGCTGACTATACACATATCATTGGTAAATAAACAAAACATTTTTTTAAAACCAACCAGTTAAAAACAGCACATTAAAACAACAATTTAAAATCACATAATCCAAGGCCAGTCCAAGTCATCAATGTTAATTTACAATCTCTTATTGAACTGCTCCCATTACTGACTCCAAAGCCAAATTTTAGGGGTTTTTTCCCCTGAAGGCCAGGAGGGAGGAGGATGCTCTAATTTCACTGGAGATTGAGTTCCATAGATGAGGGGCCACCACTGAGAAGACCCTGTCTCTTGTCACCACCAGTCGCACTTGGGGAGGGGGGGACCGAGAGCAGGGCCTCCCCCGATGATCTTAATCTCCAAGGTGGATCATAGAGGGAACTATGTTTGTACTAACACACTAGATTTGACAGTACAGCTTGCTGAGGAATGCAAGAGTGAAATGGTCCCTAAGTCCTACATCACAACCCACATCAGCTGCAAGAAAATCAATGAAATTAGGCTAAGAGATAGTTTCACATCTTAACCACAGCATTTGCCATTTAGGACACCCTGTGCTTACAAAAGACAGGGCTTAATTGAACACCATAGATTCAAGCTTATTAATTTACTCATTTATTTCATTTAATACCCTTTTTCCCAGTAGGAGACCTGGCGCATCTCACCTAGACAGATGACCAATTGTAATGGTTTAAATAACCCCACATAATTGAATAAATAGTTTAAAACAGTACTAACATAGAACAGTTTAAAAGTACTTGTTTTGCTTAATAAAATTGATAACAAATGTAACAAATAAATAAATATTCAATAGGCTTTAACTTTTTTTAAAAAATGTTTCCTTGTTTATTAAATTTATGTTCTATCTTTCTCCTAATGTGGGGCCCAAACCTGAAATTTCCAGTGCTAGCATGAGATGTGTTTGCCTTCAATACCGCAAAATAGGCTGTCATTCAAGTAAAAATGTCAGCCAAAATATGAGTGAAATATTTGCTCCAGGTGTATAACTTAAGATTTCCTCCCCTTGGCAGAAACCCTATGTCTGTAAAATTCCTGGCTGCACAAAGAGGTATACAGACCCCAGTTCCCTCAGGAAACACGTGAAGACGGTGCACGGGCCGGAGGCCCATGTCACCAAAAAGCAACGCAATGATGTTCCCCTGAGACCACCTGCCCTTAAGGAAAACAATGACAACGAAGCAAGTGCCAAGCAAACTAGCAAGGCTGCGGAAGAGCACACCGAGGCAAACAGCACTCCTAGAGGCACGGAGGACTGCTTACAAGTGAAAACTATCAAGACGGAGAATTCTGTGGTAAGAGAGGCATTTATCTCAAATGTGAATGATGCCATTTGTATTTGTCAAGTGCCATAGGAAAAGTGATTAGCCTTCTCCTGACCCCAATACACACAGCCTGTTTCAAATCTCCCGGCTCAGCATTCATCAAAGCCCACCTAGAATCCTATGAAAACTTCCTTTTGCATGTTAAATCTAAGGAGTTAAAAAAAGAACAAAAACATATTATTGACATTCAGAATATTTCTCTTTGCTGCATCTGAGACACAGTATTTTCTTTATAAGTGAAACTGGTGGAATTTTCTAATTATTATTACTTTGATGATGAGGTTGCTGGTGAAGATCCAGTCTGTGAGCTTTTAGTTGTGTATCCTAAAATAGATAATAAAATAGATGTTGATTGAACCATCTTATACTCAATGAAATCAGTTCACCTATCCCAAGATTGTCTACAGTCACTCTTTGATGCAGTCAGATTTCTTATTACTAATACTTTGGATTAATTTGAGAAAACGCTGCACCATGCTCCAAATGGGGGTCACAACACTGTTTTACCCCAATATCCTGCATAAGACAACCCCCTTCCATCTATTTTAGCATCCATCCAGTTCTATGGTTGACCGTGAAGAGCACAATGTAGCAGCTTCTTCTGTCACCCTCTTTAGCTGTATTGCTGTGAGATGTTCAGGATTGAGGCAGTCAAGGAAACTCACTGGAGTATCATTTAGAGATGCTATGCCCTTGGACCCTCCAACCAGGAATCCAGTGTGCTTGGTTCATTTTTTATAGAAAGACTGCAAGGCAAGGGAAAGTTAGACTCATATTTTAGCAAGTGTGGGGGAGGATTTGTGATCACAGAAAAGGGGGGGAGAAGTGATGATTTTAAATGTAGTGTGTTCCTGGGTGGCATCATTCTTGTCTTATGTATTGATGAAAGGATGTGCGTGTCTGTGCCTCAGTCTGGCCATGCCCACTTTGAATTCTTGTCACTCTCTATTTGCTGGAGTGTGAACCCTGATGTGTGAACCCTGACAAATATGAGTGAGATAATGAGGACCCTGGTATGGAAAATCTTCTTCAGAGTCTATTTTCAATTCTGGTACCATTATGAAGCATATGACTTAAAGAGTACTACTATAACCTGCTGAGGCTGCCACACTACAGATGTTTAAATAATATCCCATGAATCAACATTTTAAAACTATTACAGCTCAGATGGATCACAGTAGACTGCATTTCACATTCTGAAAATTTAAGTTGTTTAAAAACATCTTTCTGATAACACCAGAAAGTATTGATGATTGGGTGGAGTTATTCCCTCATCTTTGATATTCCTTTCTAATTGACCTTGCTACCAATATGCCTAAAAAAAATAGTAATCTGATTCCCATTCATATATTTCAGTTACTAGTTTTCACTAATGCAAAATACATTACAGCCAAAACATTTGTCTGACATATCCTTTTGCTCTTCACAAGATATCCACCTACTAGGAATGTAAGACAACAACAAACTAATTCAGTGGGTTGGATTTTCTTTTAACTTGTGTCATGCATGTTACAAATCTGTCATTATCTCTGGCATCTCTTCCTTGCTTCATCAGTCATCTTGGCCCTTTCCTTTTTGTTGTCTGTGTTCTAACAACCTGTTCTTTTTCCTCTTTTAACTTACTCTACTTCACAAGGACAGTCGGTACTAAGGTGAGCAAATACACTGTCAAAATCTCTGTACAAAAAAGCTTAATGTGCTTTGTTCTACAACCATCGCAAAATGACTCCAACTACTTAGATACGTGTATATTTTCTGCAAACGGCAAGACAAAATATGTGTAATTAAATAGTCTTACTTAGTCTAAGTATCCATAATTTTTTATACATCAACCTTTCCATATTGAAATTCCATAAAGAATCTTTCTAAAAATTCAACTTTCCTGTTAATGGCCAATGTCTGTAGTAGGGGTGGTTCTCCAGATATGTAGCAGTTGTCATTATTCTTCATTATTGGTTAAAATGACTAGAAATAATGAAAGTTTCCATCCAGGAGAATCTGGAGAGCCATACACCTGAGACCCCTGACCTATATGCATCTTATAACATTCCCAGACAGATATCTCCAAAGTGTCCCTGGCCTATTCAAGTGCAGTTGAGATAAAATCCTGCCCAGACTGAAGGCATGTTTTCATCTCAATGTTTTGAAGTATAGAAGGTGTGATTCCAGTTGGGCAAATTAGTGTTCATAGATATTCAAGAGAATCAGCGTAATGTAATGGTGTGAGTATTGGACGAGGACTCTAGGGTATGAATCCACACTCAACCATGTAAGCCCACTGGATGACTTTGTGAAGGCAATGGCAAGCCTCTTTGGAATGACTCTTGCCAAGAAAACTTTATTTTGAAGACACATAACAAAAAAATCAGATATTTATATAGTATGCTAGCATATATACCAAGCATTGCCGAAATGTTGGAGGGGCCACTGCCTGTCTGCTTTCTCCCTTCTCCAGCTCTGGGAAGACCTAACTCACAATGTCTCTGTGGCAACACTCTGGCAATGGTGGGCAGGCACTATCTGTGGCTCCTTCTTTCCTTCCTAAATTTCCCTCATATACCTTCTCCTTCTCTCCTTCCTTCCTTCCTTCCTTCCCTCCTTTTTCTTTCTTCCCCTCTCTGTCTTGTTTTTTTCTCCTTCTTTTCTCTTTCCTTTTTTCCTCTTTCCTTTTGTCCTTCCCTCCCCATATCTTTCCCCCTTTCTTTGCTTTCTTTCTGCCCTCCCTCCTCCTTCTTTTTCCTCTTTCTTCTCCTCATGCACATCATCTAGCAACAGCCAATACACATAATTCCCTTGTTTGCCTGTCACATGACTAAGGGCCACTTGACCTAGCAATGGCCAATCTGCTTTGTTCCTTTGCTTTCCCTCTGTTCTGAGTCCGAAGGTTTGGGTTTTGTTTTTTTTTAGTTTAAACCTCTCAGTTATTTTATATTGCGTAACGAAGGGTCTGTGTGCCATGTTTGGTCCATATCCATGAAGATATATAGGAGCCGTTCTGGTATAAACAACAAACCAATAAACAAGCAAACATACATAAATACATTCTTTGACATAGATGAATAGATTTCAATATTATGTTGACTTCATTATCATCCTGTTGCATACCTAAACTTTTCTCGGTATTGCTGTGATATTAATGATCAGAAGATCACGAAATGTTTCATGCAGATGACAATTCTGTGCCCCCCTTCAAAATTACTTTCCTTTGGGCACTCCCAGCAATGCCTTGTTATCATCTAATCTCTCTCTACTACCCCGAAAAACAGTCCTCTTTTAGAAGCCCTGCAGATTCAGGTCTGGATAGTACTTGGATAGGAGACCACCAGACAGCACCAGGTTTCTCCAGGTATGGCTGAGAAACAATTCTTCCCGAAAGCCTGAAAAACCAGTTCTACCAGTCAGAGTTGACAAGAGTGGAACTTGCTATGTCCACTTTCTACTTTCTGGTGAAGTTGAGAAAATTAAAGCTTTCCTGGGCAATCTCTGAAAATTCAACAAGAAAGCATTGTTCCATATGAAGAACAAAGGAGAGAACAGTCATTATATTCTATGGAACTGGGCAGGTTTCTGGTTACAAAAAAAGAGGAGAGGGATAAGCGTAATGGGTTATCTGGCATTCCAGCTCTCCAGCATTTAGGACCAGTCATCACAAATTATCATTCCATTGCCCAGACAAGAAAAAAGGCCCTTCCTCTTAGCCAGCAGAGAACATTTAACTTTCATTGCAAATAAATTACTTAATGTGAAATGTAATTCCTAATAAAAAAAACATTTACCAAACCTTAACCTGCAAATCATGTCCTTATCTGCCTATAAAGACTGTCAGCCAAGCATGTTAAGCTCCTTTGAACCATAAGAAGCACCCCATGCCGAAGCATTTTGGGTTTGATTCTGTGGCAGATAAGCAGCCGCAGTCTGCAGAGCTGAAGGGAGAGAGCCCAAATCTACTAATGTTTCAGGTTTATCTCAGAGAAGCATCAAAAGCTTAAGTTTCTTGAGTGAGCACATATAGATCTGCTTTGCTAACAGAAAAAAAAGAATTACCCTCAAGGCTTTTAACTTCCTGAAATTTACATAGCAGTGCTCGGCAAAGTTGTAAAAATTAACTTAATCACTTTAAATTACTTATCTCAGGAAGAATCATGTGCCCACACTGAAGAGCCCTCACACTTATGGACAATAATAGACACATTGATGCTATCGCCTAATGAGGATTTGTTTATATACAGAGTAGGTCTGGTTTAAAGAAGCTTAATTGAAGTTTGAAGTTGGAGTGGTTCCTTGGTATGGCTTTGAATTCTTTCAAATGTATTGAGTTTCAATAATGCTAGACAGGCTTTTAATATTGTCAACTATTCTCCTTATTAACTCAAATCTGAAGTTATTTAATGTTAGACTTACCAGACATATAGCTTTACAATATTAGCTCTGTAGATAAATGAAGTAGAATGTGAGCTGGTGTTTATAGGTTAAAAAAACTGGAATAGAAAATACACACATTAAGTTAACATACCCCATATCTCCATGGTCCAATATTCAGTCTAAGTGGTGAGTAGAGCTTCCTGACTTAGAAGAACTCTTATTCATTCCTTTTGAGAGAGAAAAAACATAAAGAAACCTGATCAAGTATAATGGCATTTTGCTTAAAATCATTGTAGGGTTGAAATAAATGTGATGCATTTTTAAAAAAATCATTTCATGAGCTGGCTCCAGCCTCTACCTTCAACAGATGGAACATTACGCTTACAGAAGGCACCTTAGCCTTATTTTAGAGCAGAGGTCCTCAAACTGAGGCCTGAGGGCCTGATACGGCCCTTCAAGGTCATTTACCTGGCCCTCGCTCAGTGTCAACCTAAGTCTGAAACGACATGAAAGCACACAACAACAATAACATCAACAACAATCTTATTTCATCAGCCAAAAGCAGGCCCACACTTCCCATTGAAATACTAATAAGTTTATATTTGTTAAAAATTGTTCATTTTAATTATTGAATTGTTTTTAAGTGTTTGTTGTTTTGTTTTTGTTTTTTGCACTACAAATAAGATACGTGCAGTGTTCATAGGAATTCATTCATGCTTTTTTCCAAATTATAATCCGGCCCTCCAGCAGTTGGAGGGACTATGACCTGGCCCTCTGTTTGAAAAGTTTGAGGACCCCTGCTTTAGAGGAACAGCGTAACTCACCCAAATTCAGTCAGGGAGACCCAATCTTCAACAGGTATCATTGTTGAGGGGACAGAAGGGGCCACTGTATGAAGGGAAGCCGAGGAGGCCCACTTCCACCAACTCAGTTGCACATGACTAAATGAATCCAAGCCATTATTTTAGGTACCCTACAAAACTGAAATTTTTGGGTTTTTCCAGTGGTCCTTTTAATTAGAAAGAGAGAGAGATTCTCATTTGTTTTTATTTTGCACTTACTCCAGTTTAATCAGATTAGTTGCATTTAACTTAATGGATCCCTGCCATTGTTTTAGGTACCTTACAAAACTGAAATATTTGGATTGTTTTGGTGGGGCTTTTCTTAGAGAGGCGGTGGGAGGGGGGAGATTCTACTTTGCCTTTATTTTGTATTTACTCCATTTTAATCTCATTAGTTGTGATTAATTAAAGGGTTTTTTCCTGAACAGCTTCATGACACTATAATTAATGCAATGTTGTCACCCATCGATGAAATCATGAAGGCCACCATCACTGATCAGAATCAATAACAATGTGGAAAAACAAAGCAGAGGGCAGTGAAGGAAAAGAAAAAAGACAGCCCCAAGAAGAAGAATTAACCAGAAAACAAAAGGGGGAGGGGGGATCAGATCAATCCAAATATTTGATTGGCTTGGTGGTACCAATTTTGAGACGAATGTGAAATAATTGGTTCAGCTTAATTTCATAGTATTAGAAAAGTTGACATACTCTATGTATGTGAATGTCATTCATGTGTGAATAACCTGAATTGTCTGAGGTGACCTTCATTTTTCTTATTTTCCTTAGATGTATCAGTCCAGTCCTGGTGGCCAGTCATCATGTAGCAGTGAACCATCACCACTTGGGAGCACCAACAACAATGACAGTGGAGTAGAGATGAACATGCACAGTGGGGGAAGTCTGGGGGACCTGACCACAATGGAGGATGGCACTCCTGTTGTAGACTCGACGGTCTCATCTGGCAACTCGACCGTCAGCCTTCAGTTGAGGAAACACATGACAACAATGCAGCGCCTTGAGCAGCTCAAGAAGGAGAAACTCAGGACAGTGAAGGATTCATGCTCTTGGGCAAATCCAGCACCGCACGTCAGAAACACCAAGCTGCCTCCCATTCCAGGCAACAGTAAGTCAGCCCGGCCGCTCCGAACGATGTTTCACAGACCTTCCTACAGCTGTCCTATGATGAGCTATTTCCCATGTTGTCCCCCCACCCAAGAACAGATATAGGAATTGAAATCTGAAATAGGGAAAATATCCTGAACCTTCACACATATCTATCCTCGTCAAAAACACATGTCAGGTATCACATTGCAGTCTGAGTGTTCTACCACCCCTGAGAATCAACACCTGAAACAGGTTGTCAAGCTTGATTTCTAGCTTAAAACACACGCTAAAATGCCGTAGAGAGAAAGCCATGTATGTAAGGATATGAAGCTTGGTAAAGCATTCATTCTTGCCATTTCAATAGCTTTTCCCTAACATTTGTTGATATTTATGGTTCGGATTGCCATTTAAGGGTTTTTTTGTGTGTGAAAATAATTGCAAATATATATATAAACTTCAACATTTCTCTGTAGAAAACAGTGCATTTAGCTCAAAATTTTGCACAAAATATTGAGTTTCAACAAACATATTTTCAATAATAGGAAAATAATTCAAGTTTTGTACTGGGTCGATATTTTTTATTTAGGCCAACTTTATTGTGCATGCATCCATATACCCCTGAACTCTAAACAAGCATTAAATAAAAGAGAGATCAACTTTTGGGAAAATAACTTTCCAGAACATTTGAAGCTAGCTATACCAGGTACTCAGGTGAATTCAGGTTACATCTAGAATCTTTAAATAAACATGGTTTTATCTAATTCATGGAAATCAACCCTCCCTGCTGACCATTTCTGCTTTTTAAACAAACACACGACACTGCCAATTGTTCTTTTTACTGTACTGTATTGTTTTTTATATTTTAACTCATACTCAGTCTTTTCCCCAAAGCCGAAAGTCTAAGCATCACACAATATTTTAAAAATCCAAGTCATAACACATGTTCATGACCAAAAATGTTTAAAATGGTATTAAACTATATAATACAGTTAAAATGATTGAAAACACCTCCATTTAAAATCAAAGGATAGATGTAGCACAGAATACTCTACCAAGGGCCCTTCTTAACAACTCAAATAAGCTTTCTATGGAGTACATGTGTATGAGTTTGTGTAGAGAATGAATTAAGTGAACAAGGGAGGTATCTTCTACTAATATCATTGACTAAGAATCCTATTTTCCTTTCTTATTCAGGCTGTCTATTGGACAATGGAGGTGGTATTTCTACAGCACTGCCTAATCAGAGGTTAACAGAGCTGTCCATCAATGAGGTCACAATGCTGAATCAACTAGCTGAACGCCGTGACAGCTCAGCAAGCACCATCAGCTCTGCCTACACTGTCAGTCGCAGGTCATCAGGGATATCTCCATACTTCTCTAGCCGCCGTTCTAGTGAAGCTTCCCCATTTGGAAACCGGCCTAATAACACAAGCTCTGCTGATTCCTACGACCCCATTTCCACAGATGCCTCTCGCAGGTCAAGCGATGCTAGCCAATATAGCGGTATCCCAGGTCTTCTGAATCTGACGCCAGCTCAGCAATACAGGCTGAAAGTGAAGTATGCAGCTGCCACAGGTGGCCCTCCACCAACTCCACTGCCTAACATGGACAGAATGACTCTGAGGAATAAGATCTCCCTCCTTGATGGAGCAGATCCTGCTTTACCTTCCTTTTGCTTCCCATCTGTGCCAAGGCGCTGTAGTGACAGCATGGCTTATGGATATGGATCATCACCTGCCTTTGCCCATGAGGTGCCAGGCAATAGTGCCAGGCGTGCAAGTGATCCAGTGAGGAGACCTGCTGGAGATCCAGCATCCCTCCCCAGAGTCCATCGTTTTAACAGCACCAACAACATGAATCTCCTTTATCCTCCTGCAGACAGAAGGAATTTCAACTTGGCAAACTTCACACATACCGAGGGAAATCTCACTAGACACATATACTCTCCACGGCCCCCGAGCATTAGTGAAAATGTTGTCATGGAAGCAATGGCTGGTGAAACAGATGGCTCAGTAGGAGATGATGATATTGTGCTACCTGATGATGTAGTACAATATATCAAATCACAAAACAATGCGATGACTACGGATCCCTCTTCCACAGGGTATGGGAATGAGATGCAGAACTTCCAGGCCAATATAAAAGAACAACAAAACAACATGCTGAGCCAACACAGGATGGCTCTTCCTGATGTGAGTATGAATCATACAACACCAGTCGTCAATGGGTGTCAAATAAATGTAGGGGCCAACTCTAATTTGAGTAAAAACAACATGCCAGTCCAGTGGAATGAGGTCAGCTCAGGTACAGTTGATACGTCTTCTGCTCAGCTGAAGCAGCAGGTCTCTCAACGGAACTTAGCTGTTGTCCACCAGAAGCAGAACTTTGGGCAATATCAAGACTTCAGCCAACAACAGATGCAAATGGGTCAAAGCAATATAAACATGATCCCACAACAGTTTGTGCAAAAGAATGCAGGACTGGATGGACCGAGACTAAACTGCATGCATTTACGGCAGCAGCAGCAGCGGCAGGTGCATCCAGGTCCTAGTAACAGTGCAGATATGCGGGCACATGAAATGTACAATCAGGTTCATCAGATGCTGAGTCCACATACAATGAGCAGTGAGCTCAACCAGCTATCTCCTTCCTGCAATAACATGATAGTGAAGCCTGCTTCTCAAGTTCACCCTCAGCAGGTAGATGCTGTGGGTGGTTCCGTTGCAATGGTTAACAGTAGCAGAGAATGCACGATGCACAATCAGTCTAACCAGGAACAAGGGCACCATCCAAACCACATGAACTTTTCTATGACACAGGAAGCGTTCCATCAACCTTCTTCCTTAATGGCCTCAAGTCAATCAAACTTTGAACCACAACAGAACATGACTGGCACAGTTGGGCAGAGTTTTCCTTCTAATGTGGTACAGCCTCATCCTCCACCTAATCCCAACCCAACAAACAGACACCGAGGGATACGTGCTATGCAACCGTTGGGTTACATGAGAATATCTCAACCAACTAATGATCTGAATCCAGGGCAGCCAAGGCCAGAGCCAACCCCTAAAGTAACAGCAGGTATAGCCTCATCACAGTCAGACCAATGTCACAACAGTGTGAGAGAAAACCATTTGATGCACTATTATGGTCAAATACACATGTATGAACAGAATGGGAATTTTAATAACAATACAGAGTGTTCCATAAGGCAGCAACAGCATTGTTCACTGAATGTCAAGCCAGCCTCCATGCCCTCTCCTGGAGCTAATCAAGTTTCAAGCACTGTAGACTCTCAGGTTCTGGAGCCTCCTCAGTTAGATTTTGATGCCATCATGGATGATGGGGACCATTCCAGTCTGATGTCAGGGACCCTGAGCCCTAGCATCCTACAGAATCTCTCCCAGAACTCTTCTCGCCTTACAACTCCCCGGAACTCTCTGACGCTGCCATCTATACCGGCTGGAATTAGTAATATGGCAATAGGAGACATGAGCTCGATGTTGACGACACTGGCAGAAGAGAGTAAATTTCTTAACATGATGTCTTAATGCTCAAAGCACAACAGACTAGAAGTATCGAAGAGATTACATGCTAAGTAATTTTATGAATGTGCTTTTTAAAAAGAAATACTTCTGTAGAGTAGACTTTTTTTACAAGTATTAAATACATTAAAGGGATTCCAAATAAGGAAGAAGTGTCTTTGTAAAAACTTGTATAAACTATATAAAAGATGCACTGAAATAATGCACCATTAGTGTTATTTTTGTGCTTGTTTTTCCAAGTGCTGAAATATGCCACCATCATTTTAGAACAGAACTTTCAAGCGTTCCTGTTTGTAAACAATAGGGCACATTTGGCATCATGCTTAAAAACTAACAATCACATCTTTGTTGGTTTTCTAGTATTTCCTTATTGCAGAACCATTCAACCTCAACCTCTAAGTTTGCCAAATGTAGAGTGCTAGACAGTCATGCACAAAAATATTAAAAAGCACTGTTTCAAACAAAGTTCTGCTTTGTAAATCACACATGTGTGTTGTTGCCTTTTTGTTTTCCCTTAGTTATCACTGCAAAAATGCAATTCTACAGTGACAAATGCATGGATATAATTTTGACCGAAATGCAAAAGCCATACTATGTATGTTTAATGCTTAATGCTTTGCTTCATGGCCAGAAGTGTTCATATGTGTGTGCATGCATGTGCACATACAGAAACATGCACAGACACACAGCATTGCTTATACAGCTAATATATTATAGCTTAGCTGAGAAGCATCAGTTTTTGAGCAGTTTTGCAGTGAAGTGCCTTACTTGCCGTAGTTGTTGAGTCGTCAAGGCATCTCTTGTCCATTAATGTCAAATAAAGTATATCACCAGGCGCATGTATAAAAGAAAGGTACATTTATATCAGGCATTACAATATTCCTTAAAAAAGACATTTGAGAAGGACACGTTGATGGGGAGGAGATGTGAAAGATTAATGCCCTGGCTGTTTTACCAGAGGGTACTTTTTATAAGGGGATTTATATCATAAAGAATGGGGTGGAGGTTTGAGAATGCCACTAAGTTAAAAAATACATCTAGAAGGAGAAAGGTTGCTGTAATGCATGGCATTTATTTGTTTTTTAAAGATGTGGACCACTCATAGTTTCCATTGACTTCACATTGGAGTTGAAAAGGCAGAGGACAGTCTCATCAAAGTTGGTTAAATAAGTGATTAAACAAGTGATGTTGCAGAAATTCTTCAGTTTTTTTAAATAGTACTTATGAACTTGATTTCCCCATGTTGAATATGTTGTATGCATCCAGATTTGGATGTTGTCAGTCCACTCATTGATCAACACTTTTATGTGGTTTCAGGTAGTCAGCTTCACTCTGTCTTGCAGATGATTGTGAGTTCATATCTTACTTAAGGTACCTTGGAGAAAGGCAGGATATCAATGAACAAACCAGAAACATGGATAATGGAAGTTAGGGAGATTTGCATATCCACCTGGGCTCACAAAAGAAAACCAAGTTGACCACCTTTGCAGGAAACCTGGTAATAGTACAACCTGATATGTGGCCATGTGGTTGATCATACAGTTGCCATGTGTTTGTAAAAGACCTGCTGTTTGTATATATTGGAGTACCAACAGAACTGAAAGGGAAAATCTCCCACTGTTAGGCCCAGCTTATGCCAATCTTGCAGTTCGAAAACATGCAAATGTGAGTAGAGCAATAGGTACTGCTCTGGTGGGAAGGTAATGGCACTCCATGCAGTGATGCCGGCCACATGACCTTGGAGGTGTCTACAGAGAGTGCCAGCTGTTCAGCTTAATAATGGAGATTTCTTCAAATTGTGGCCATGACCTCAAATGTGTAGCATTATGAATTTCTGTCAATGGAAGCTCTTATACTAATTGATTCATGTGACATTATGGTTCTATTTTTAAACACATTTATTTGTCTAAGTTTATTTGTCAGTCCTTGTGACAATAAGTTGGTAGCTAAACCCTACAGGAAGAGGTAACAGTAATGGCAGAGGCTCCAGTCCAAGTTTGTGGGACCCCATGTTTGTAGGAAGCTTTAGACTCACAATAATTCAGGGCATTTTAGAGGTTTTCCAATACACATTTTTCAACTTTTATGGCATTTTCTTATTCTACACTTTTATTTTCTTCTCAGCCCTTCTCCCAAAAGAGACAGGAAATCATTGAGGACCACAACATAATGATTTACTTTTTCAACATTGTGCTTAGCATTTGTTGCCATAGTAGACAACAATAGTAGCAACTTTGGTCTTTTTTTAAAGAAATAATGCATTCAAAATTGGGAACACAGTACATTCAAACAGTAACTTTCCAAGGTCTAAGTGAACCTCTGTGCTTATGCTGCATCCTGTGTTTGTTGCCACTTAGAAGAATTTGATTATAATACTGAATCTGGGGTATGACACACTTCTCAAGACAGTCAAGTTTCACATAACTTCTCTAACATTTTATATTTCCACCCTTTTTTTTTTGTTTTGGTTGTAAATGAGTTGCTGAGGAATTTCCTACCATCTTTAATGGTATAGCCATTGCTTTAACCACCTCCAAAATTATTATGAGAATGAGGTGTGATTAGAAGCCCAACAGAAATCAGTGTAAGGTTCAACATACATTATTCACTGATTATTCACTCACAATATGAGAGCTGAAAATAATTGTAGAGGCAGGCTGGAAAGAATAGGATCTTCTGAACTCTGCATTGGAACTAGTTCCGACATTAAACTATGAGAAAATGAACTAGATTCTCCTCCTTTAGGTAGACTTGTACCATCTGATATTGTCCTGATTAGCACATGAGAAGCCTCTGGACACGGCTGTAACTTTTCATGTAATACTTACAGACAATAATCCAATGAGTCATCATGGTCTAGTGGTTTGAATTATGGACTGACTCTTACGGATCAGGATTCAAATCTCTGCTTGGCCATGGAAACGTACTGGGTGACTTTGGGCAAGTCAAGCCCTTTCTGAACAAATCTCTCCCCCCCCCCCCAAATGGAGTTAGACCTCCATAACCCCAAAACAACTTGAAGGCACACAACAAGCAGCCATTAATTGCAAAATGCCTTGGTTGTCTGAACTATGATTACTGAACAAGAGTTCTCTTGACATGTAATGAGAATTACATGTCTTAAGTATGCTTAGGTATAGTTTGAATATCCCATGCTCCATACATTGTCAGGTGTGAAGGATGCATGATAATATGCGGATTTGTAAACTCCTAAAGCAAAAGGGAAAGAAAAACCTACTCAGGCATCATGTTCTTCAGCTTTACAATGATGGTTTTCATTTATTACTGTAATAGTAACAACAATACTGGCTCTGTATATATTCTGTATAGAAGACGTTCATTATTAAGAGTACTGTAGCTGAATTGTTCTGTCTTTATATCTCCAGGACCTTTTTAGCTGTTTTCTACATCATAAGGATGGCAGTCACATGTTGAACTGTATATAAATGTTTTGTACATTAAAAAGTAATTTTTTTCATAATAGTTGTTGTCTGTTGGTTCTTATTCAGGTTACAGTCACAGTAGAAAGCATGACCAAAGAACCAAGGAGAATAATTGATGACCACATCACATTACCCTCTTTTTAAACTGCAAGCATACAATTCCATTATGTGAAATTGTAAAGTGTGGATATTGAAAACATACTTCTCTTGTGGCAAACTTTGTCAGGGGACTGCAATTGGCCGCAGCTTCTTATAGAGTCAGGTCCAGCCCATGAGCTTTTTTCTGTCTGATTCAAAGAAGAAGATGACTCTTCCTTCAGTTTTGGTCACAGAAGCATCAACGTTATCAACGAGATAGCTGCTTCTGCTTCAGCCATCAGTAATAGGCTAGTTTTGGATAAACAGGCTGGGATGCCACCAAACCATTTGGGCTTTAAAGCTCTGTCATTCATATAGAAGAAGAGAATGGCCAAGGGGCTTGGGAGAAATATAGCTGCCTGAAGTAAGGTGCCTAATTCTACCTTACAGCAGGTTTAGTGCTTTTTGACTGCACATCTGGGGAAATGTCTTTGTTTCCCTTAACATAGTGAGCATGTACTTGACTGCTCTAGATCAAACACTGGAACGAAGGCCAATGCAAGATAAAATATGTTCACTGTTGGGGGAGGGGAGGGAGGATACCTGTTATTTAATAAAGAACCCCACAGACACCATCAAAGAAGCTTATTCAGGTAGATTATTAAGTCTTAACTGCCCCAAGGTCTCTGGGTTTGGCACTCACTTGACAACCCTTGCTACACTCCATCGCTGACCAATGTCTCTAGCAGCCCTTTTCTAACAACAGACTCCATCTATGCCACAAGAGTTCCTGTTCTTTAGACGTAGTTTGTTCCATTTGGAAGTCAGGCTGTGCTGTAAATCAACAGAACATTATATATTGTAGGGATGACAATTTATGACCGAGCAAGGCCTCTTTTCGACAGCTATTTAATGTGTAAGTAAAATGGCCTAACAAAACAAACCCACCCCTATAAGTGTATAATTTCTCCCTCTAGGATTTATGTTTCATGTAAACATGCAAACTGCCACTTTAAATATCTTGCTGTAAAAAGTAGTAAAAAGCAAACAAGACTAAGGTAAAGCTCTGAATACACTGTTGATCCTGACACTTTGGATTACGTCTGTATTTACCAGGAATGTTTCCTTTCTCTTGTCTCTTCCCTGCCTTTGAAGGGTGTGGTAGGCAGAGCAAACATTTTGAAAGTTCTTGTTAAAGTTTCAGGCTCTTCACCCAGAACTTTCTATGCAAGATAAGACAATCAATTGTTACTAGCCTTGATGGCTATACAGTGTTCCCTCGCTACTTCGTGGTTTGCTTTTTGCAGATTTGCTGTTTTGCGGGTTTTTTGCCTCCCAGCAATGATGCAGTGTGGAAGGGGGTTTCACCCTCCCCCTTGGGAGAGAGGCAGCCAATCATTTAAAAGGGGGGGGGGAGATACAAAACAGTATGTAAATTACAGCCTTATGGCCCCTTCCTTATAGCTAGTTGTTGCCTGGATTATTTATTTATTTATTTATTTAGAGTTTTTATAACCCGGTCTTCTCAACCTCCGAGGAGGGACTCAGGCCGGCTAACAACATAAGATTCAATACAATAAGAAAACATTATAAATCATCAATATAAAATACATTAAAATACAATTCATACAATTCATACAAGTTACAGCAAAATCAATTCGTCAAAAAGAATCACAAATTCATTGCCATCCGCAGAAAGGTTAGCAGTTATTGACTCAGTCATCGTCCTGCAAATGCAGTATCCCAAAGCCATGTTTTTACCAGCTTTCTAAACATCAAGAGGGAAGAGGCAGATCTAATCTCCATTGGGAGGGAATTCCAAAGCCGAGGGGCCACCACCGAAAAGGATAAGTCACACTTTCAGCGTCAAGTCATGGTTGCACAGAACTCTTTCCTTTAACATAATGCTTAGTGAATTGTTGTCTAGAGGGAGTCACATTCTCTCAGTCCCAGGAAGGCACAGATAATTTTACTCATTGACTGTGTCATCACATACTGAGGCCTACATTTTATTGCATGCGACATGTTAGGCTTAGGTCTTGCAAAATGATTTGGTGGGGGGTGGGCTCTCCTTTGTTTCAGGCCTCATCTTAGGCTTTAAATCTTGCCATTATATTGGGAGACATCCATCTTCTTCCAGGCCTTGTGTTCAGCTTTATAGCCTTTGCCATTATATCAGGAAGCCTTCATTTGGAGGTCTGTCTCTATTGTGTTCAGACCACTTGTTGGGCTGCATGCCTTTGGGCTGTTGCTGCTTCAGGCTGGGGCCAATCTGGAGGGGGCCACATGGTCTTCTTCTGTATCTGAGAGACCCTCAGGCACAGCCTGAATAAGGTGCCTTCAGGTGTATCTTTGTTGTTGTTCATTCGTTCAGTCGTCTCCGACTCTCGTGACCTCATGGACCAGCCCACGCCAGAGCTCCCTGTCGGCCGTTACCACCCCCAGCTCCTTCAAGGTCAGTCCAGTCACTTCAAGGATGCCATCCATCCATCTTGCCCTTGGTCGGCCCCTCTTCCTTTTGCCTTCCACTTCCCCCAGCATAATTGTCTTCTCTAGGCTTTCCTGTCTCCTCATGATGTGGCCAAAGTACTTCAACTTTGTCTCTAGTATCTTTCCCTCCAGTGAGCAGTCGGGCTTTATTTCCTGAGATGGACTGGTTGGATCTTCTCGCAGTCCAAGGCACTCTCAGAACTTTCCTCCAACACCACAGATCAAAAGCATCAATCTTCCTTCGCTCAGCCTTCCCTAAGGTCCAGCTCTCACATCCGTAGGTTACTACAGGGAATACCATGGCTTTGACTACTCGGATCTTTGTTGCCAGAGTGGTGTCTCTACTCTTCACTATTTTATCGAGATTGGACATTGCTCTCCTCCCACAAAGTAAGTATCTCCTGATTTCCTGGCTGCAGTCTGCATCTGCAGTAATCTTTGCACCTAGAAATACAAAGTCTGTCACGGCCTCCACGTTTTCTCCCTCTATTTCCCAGTTGTCAATCATTCTTGTTGCCATAATCTTGGTTTTTTTATGTTTAACTGCAACCCAGCTTTTGCGCTTTCTTCTTTCACCTTGATTAGAAGGCTCCTCAGCTCCTCCTCGCTTTGGCCATCAGAGTGGTGTCATCTGCATATCTGAGGTTGTTAATGTTTCTTCCAGCAATTTTCACCCCAGCTTTGCATTCATCAAGCCCCGCACATCGCATGATGTGTTCTGCATACAACTTAAAAAGGTTGGGTGAGAGTATGCAGCCTTGCCGTACGCCTTTCCCAATCTTGAACCAGTCTGTTGTTCCGTGGTCAGTTCTGACTGTTGCTACTTGGTCCTTGTACAGATTCCTCAGGAGAGAGACAAGGTGGCTTGGGATGCCCATCCCACTAAGAACTTGCCACAATTTATTATGATCCACACAGTCAAAGGCTTTAGAATAGTCAATGAAGCAGAAGTAGATGTTTTTCTGAAACTCCCTGCCTTTCTCCATTATCCAGCGGATATTGGCAATTTGGTCTCTCGTTCCTCTACCTTTTCTAAACCCAGCTTGAACATCTGGCAACTCTCGCTCCATGTATTGCTGGAGTCTTCCTTGCAGGATCTTGAGCATTACCTTACTGGCATGAGAAATAAGGGCCATTGTACGGAAGTTTGAGCAGTCTTTCGCATTTCCCTTTTTTGGTATGGGGATATAAGTTGATTTTTTCCAGTCTGATGGCCATTCTTGTGTTTTCCATATTTGCTGGCATATGGCATGCATCACCTTGACAGCATCAGCTTTTAAGATTTTAAACAGTTCAGCTGGGATCCCGTCGTCTCCTGCTGCCTTGTTGTTAGCAATGCTTCTTAAGGCCCATTCAACTTCACTCCTCAGGATGTCTGGTTCTAATTCATTCACCACACCGTCAAAACTATCCTCAATATTATTATCCTTCCTATACAGATTTTCTGTATAGTCTCGCCACCTTCTCTTGATCTCTTCAGCTTCTGTTAGGTCCCTGCCATCTTTGTTTCTTATCATACCAATTTTTGCCTGAAATTTACCTCCAATGTTTCTAATTTTCTGGAAGAGGTCTCTTGTCCTTCCTATTCTGTTGTCTTCTTCCACTTCATGCATTGCTTGTTTAAAAATAGTTCCTTATCTCTTCTGGCTAACCTCTGGAATTGCGCATTTAACTGGGCATATCTCCCCTTATCACTGTTTCCTTTTGCTTTCCTCCTTTCTTGGGCTACTTCCAGTGTCTCAGCAGACAACCATTTTGCCTTCTTGGTTTTCTTTTTCTTTGGGACGTACTTTGTTGCCGCCTCCTGAACAATGTCTCGGACTTCTGTCCATAGTTCTTCTGGGACTCTTTTTACTAAATCTAGTCCTTCAAATCTGTTCTTCACTTCCACTGTATATTCGCTAGGAATGTTAGTGAGATCATATCTAACTGGTCTGTGTATTTTCCCTGATCTCTTTAGTTTTATTCTAAATTGGGCAATAAGAAGTTCGTGATCTGAGCTACAGTCAGCCCCAGGTCTTTTTTCACCGACTGGATGGATGTCCGCCACCTTTGGCTGCAAAGGATGTAGTCAATCTGATTTCAGTGTTGACCATCTGGTGAGGTCCATATGTAAAGCCGTCTTTTAGGTTGTTGGAAGAGAGTATTCGTTATACACAGCGAGTTTTCCTGGCAAAATTCTATCAGCCTGCATCCCGCTTCATTTTGTTCTCCCAGACCATGCTTGCCTGTGATCCTGTTGTCATTTGACTTCCCACCTTGGCATTCCAGTCTCCTGTAATGAAAATAATGTCTCTTTTTGGTGTATTATCCAGTAGGTCCTGCAGATCCTCATAGAACTGATCTACTTCTGCTTCTTCGGCAGCTGTGGTTGGGGCGTATATTTGGATCACTGTAATGTTGAAAGGCTTTCCTTGCACTCGAATTGAGATCATTCTGTCATTTTTTGGGTTGTATCCAAGCACCGCTTTA